CTTTAAAAAACCGAATTGCTCTGCTGGCTTCTTTCGAAGGTTAGCAAGCACCATGTATTTTTTAAAAATATAATATTTCAAGTGCATAAATATATGGTGTTGCTGTTTTTACAGAAAAAACTTTATAAAACAGAGGTGCTTTGCTGACTTCGTTCGAAGCTATCAGAGCATTTTAAGTTTTGCATAAAACGAGGAGCATAAAATTTTTGAAAAGGGTATAAAAATAGCCTAAAAATATGGCATGTTTTAACTCAAAATTTCATAGGTGCTCTGCAGCATTCTTTGGTATCATAATTATTACTAGGTTCACTAACAAAATCTATTTCTAGATTATTTTAACACTTGCTGCGATTACAAAAAATGTCTCTTTATGTCAAAATTAGAAAAAAAATATTTATAAGAATAAAGGGCCTTATACATTGTTTATTATATGTGATATAAAAACAAAAAAGCATAATAAATATTACAAACCTTGAGATTCAACATATCCTAAGCATTGTGCACTAAAAAACAGCCACATCATAAGGTTTTTGCTGTACTTTATATTTAGGTGTAATTTGTCTCCTCTCTTATGGAAAAAGTAAATATCTCCATATTCTTGCTTGGCAGATCTAAAAATAAAACCTGAGATAAATATGTTTTACTATAAAGTGTACTGCTTCATATAAACTGTAACTACCTACCATTAAAACAATTTATAAATAAAGTTTTACCTTTCTTTTGGAAACTGAGTATTGTTAAAAAATGCAGTAATCATCTCGGTAATCATATTTTCGTTTACAATGGGAAAAATACTTGATTCAACTTTTATAAATACAGCTGATAAATTCATATTCTTCTTCCTTTATATATCCTATATCCCACAGGATAATTTACCCAGATAAATTCAGATTAATAATAAAATTAAACCAAAACAAAAAACTAAGGTTAGTTGTTAGGTGCTGTCAATTTTTAAATGTCACTTAGATGTGCGTTCACTTCGACATTCTGTATGTAGGTTTGTTCGTTGGCTTGGTTTTGTATAACAAAAAAAACTTCGACACAAGCTGATTGGTCTATTCCCGATGACGTATAATTTCAAATTTTAAATTTCAATTGGGCTTAATTTAAAAACTTTTAGCTTTTTTAACGAACTGATTATTTAGAATAACTTGTATAGCGACTAACTATTACAATATAGTTTATAAAACAGCATATCTCACATGTGAACATGGCCCATTAAGTAATTAATTTAGTACTAAATTTCGAACTAAAAATATTTTTTTCCTTTTGCAACGATACCAATTTTTAGTTCTAAATTAAGTATAGGGGCACGCGCATTGACGTATTATTAAATATTCTGTGTAATAGAGACAAGTGAATTTAAAGATTTTTTTATTACGACTGACACTAGTTGACAACAAGCAAACACAGCAATGCTACTAAAACCCACGAAAAAACAATAAAACCATTGTTTAAACAATGATAAAACCTATAAAATCAAACACAAACGAAATTTATCCAAGAGATAATGCAAAGTTGTCGCTAACCAAAAACAAAATGGCACGGAAAAGACCGTTGTGTCAACTTTTTCTGCGGAACATTTCAACGTATTTTTAGCATTAAATTAAGTAGAAAATTATTTAATTATTTTTTTTTGTACTAAATTTGCAGTAATGCAAATTAATGCATTAATCTAGTTCTAAATTTAGTACTTAATTTAGTATCGTAACATACAGCCTTAATATATGCATTACTAATATTTATTTAGGTAGGAACTATGTGCCACAGTTTGCCAAAGCTCTATACGGTCAAACTACGTAACTAATAATGCATTTTATTTGTTGCACCAGTGTTACACTCGACACTGTATTCGAACTGTCATACTTGTCTAAAGTATATGCTACATGTGCGCTACAGCCAAATATTTGAAGCTACACTGAACAAATCAAAAGCGATTAGTGCAGAAAACTTACACCTAGTGCAACAAATAAAATCCACTATAACACAATTACGCAACTAGCACAGGCTCATATTGTCGATTATCCCCGTGCACGCATAATATGTTAAGTAGCCTTTAAATTGATTGAATTGTTTAAGGAAATAGAAAAAATAGGTAAACATGACAGGTGTAGTAATCTAAATGCCACGAATTACGGACAACAATATCGTAAAAATAATATTCAAGCTAATTACAGTTGACGAATATTATAGGTTGAATATTTTTATTCCATATCCATATCTTACACGCACCTATCCATTTTACTTTTTTTTTTTAAAGAGTTGGTAAACACAAAACAAAAAGCAACCGCAGTTGTAAATTGTAAAAATACTAGCAGAAAAAAACAGCGTAAGTTATATAAATTTTCAGTAGCAAAATGGAAATGAAATCAAAGAAATAAATATCTTGTGACTTATTGATAGGAAACCAATTTTAATTATTAATTTCTATGGGTTCTTTCGAACTAAAACTGAAGAAATTATAAATTACAATTGCAAATATACCAATTATTTTTGTTAATACGTTTTGATACTACGTTAATATGTAATGGTAATGTTTTTATTTTTACATTATTTAACCTATTCTTCAATGACAACTTAGGTTTAGGCAAAATATTATACATTTTCTTGTAAATATTGTTGCCTGTCTGTTTTATTATTGATTTTTATTGATTATACAACTTTTTTTTAGCTGAAGTAATAAAAATATATAATAATAATAATTAATTTTTTCACTTGTTTTACAAATCCATATACTTTTATTAAAATCAACATATATATTTTTTAAATACGAATTCTATTAAAAATTGTATTGTCAGTATATGCAGATATCTAAATCTTCTGTTAGTTCATAAATTAGTTAGCGTTGCTATCACTCACAGAGCAAATAATGAATGAAAATAGGCTGACTGGGCTTTGCAAGATGAGCGTACATCGAAAAATAGTCGCAAAAAAACTAAAAAGAAATCATGTTTTCTGTTATCGATTATTTTTGGTAGAGAAAGAAGAAATTAAAAGTTGCGTTTTCCTAGTGTTCGTCGACGTGTTTAAGTTTTTTATGTTTCTGTGTTTCTATAAATATTTTATTTTTTTTTTATTATTATGTATGGCTCTGTCTTAATATTTTTCTTTTAAATTACACCTTGTTTTTTAAAAATGTGATTTAAGTTTCTTGTTTTTTTATTTTAGTTTTTGTCTTTTTTGTTGGGTTATTTTATTTATTAGAAACTTTGGTTAATTTGTATTGCTCCTTTATTTTTCATTTTCTTTGTTTTTAAACAAAAAACCATTCTCAATTTTTTCAAAATTTTGCCCCTCCCTACAGAATTGTGTAACGACGCCCATGGTCATAAAAAATAGTTAAAGGTATGTAATTGGTAACTAAACGATTGTATATTTGATACATGCTATCTACTTACTTTAGGAATATATTTATAAAAGTGAAAAAAACTATATAATTTAGGTAAACAAAACGCACTCAAAAAATCTACTGCCACTTTAATTGTCAGTGGAACCATAATTACATCATCACTGAACTAGCGCATTGGACTAAGTGTCACAAGCTGAATTGTTAGTGAATTGAAAACTAATATTTTGGAGATTCTAAAACCGTAGGTAATCCAAAGTTAGACTGTGCAGAAAGGCACTATTTTCAAAAAACGAGATATTGTTACTATTGCATAGAACATAACGTGTACTGCAATATGATCGCCAAATAAAAAAAAAATCTCTTTACAAGTTACGTAAATGTATTATATTAAATATTTAAAAAACCATTGGGGCTTGCGGCCCATAGAAACTAAAAATGCGATTTTCTCGGTTTTATCTTAGAAAAAAATTGTGAAAATGTTGTACTTTTTATGTTTACACCACGAAATTAGCTGAACAAGCTTTTAAAACAAAAGATCAACCATATTTTTATGTTCTATCATAATCAACTAATTATTATAAAACAAATCAATTAAACGGCAGCCACGGTGATCACCGTCAGGTAATCGCCTGTTGCTTTTCTATAACTTCACTTTGTCTGTCTCTGTTAAACATGTTGTTCTACGTGTATACCTGACTTTGTCGTACAATCTTTGTTTAAAATTAAAGTGTTTAATTTTTCTATGTTTAGTTTAATTCGAGAGGTAAACCACTAAGTTTAAAACGTACCCGTATTTTGGAAATCATCTAAAATTTGTATGATTTCGGTGATTTCATTGAAATAACCCTTAAATTTATACGTTTTCGGTAATTTCGCCGAAATCTCCCTTACTTTTATATGCGAAAATCATTGTACTGCCCTCCGAAGCCAAAAAGCGGTATCTCAGTTGACGGGAGTTTCGAGAAAATACACATTTTCTAAAAATTGTTCTCGCGTTTCCTCGAGTCAAAAAAAAAAAAAATAATAATTTAGGTACCCTGGTGTTTTTGAATATTATTTTTGAAGTTCTTGTGTTGTATATGAATATGCACCATTTAGCATTAATAGGTACAAGTAAAGATGAGATACGTAAATTTGTTATAGTTTTTTTTTTTTATGTTCTGTGCGAGATTTTGCTATTTTTCTTAGTTAAAAATAGGAAGGTCGTTTCTTTTAGATACCGCTTTTTGGCTTAGGAAGGCAGGGTAAAGAACCTTCGAAAGGAAAATGACATGTTAAAACAAGGCCTTCAAATAATAGAAACAAAATTTGATGACATGGAAGCAAAGGGAAAAGCTAACAAGCTAACCTGGGATAACTTCGGGCCTCTTAGTATCAATTAGAAAAAGAGATTAGTTAAAAAAAGAATGTACATAACAGAAATAATTTTGATTTTCAAAATAGATATATACATCAAAATTAATAAAAAATGCGAAATATTCTTACTAAAGTATTAGCTAAAAAAATGCAAATGACCCAAAAAAAATTTGGAAGGTGATAAAAGGGGCCACAAATGACCATGATTATAAAGCTGAAAAAAAAAGTATAATAAATTCTAATAATATAAAAATAGATAATAAAAACAGATTGCATATAAATTTAACACATATTTTTCAGAAATTGGAAAACAGCTAGTCGCTAAAAAAGTAAATTGTGGAAACTTGAACCATCTATGCTAAATCCGACGTCTAAAAATAATATGATCAAGCAAATTCAGTCTGAAAAATTGGGTAAAAGGAGAAGATTCTATTAGTCCCCATATTTGTAAAGAATATAGATTTAAATTGTTAAAACCACTTCAGCATATAGTAAATATGTGATAGTAAAAATTAGAAAATTATTTACAAGTTTTATGAACAGAAATATTTTAACTTTAAAAACGGTATATTTTGCACTTTTAGAGTCAATATAAACATATGGGATGGTAGTATGGGGTGGTGCTGGTACCGACGGAGATGACTAAACTTCAAATAATTCAAAAATGGAAAATAAAAGTAATGCTCTTCAAATATAAAAGATATCCCACAGAACTAGTGCATAAAGATAGCAATTTGCTAACGCCAGCACAATTATGTATTAAAACAGTCGTAAGATTTATGTAAAAAAAACCAGACTATAAAAAAATGTGAACCATGAGCTAAATAGTAGTAGAGCTGAAACAACGTCGTCTTGCAAAATCCCAGGCATACCATATCAAAAGCATATACTCGTATATTGTGTTGGTCCAAACTGGTCCAACTTGCCTCCTAATATCAGACAAAACCCTTACTCTACATGTAAAAAAGAAATTAATAGAAGGTCTGTAGAAAATAACTTTACAATTCATTAAGTTGGGTGATAACTTCATTTTTTCTTTCTAGGGTCTCATTCATTTTTAAATATTTAATTATTATTCTTTCATTTTATTGTAACAATTTGTTAATTCGTTTTGTTTTCATGCTTATAATTTTTATTTTTTCACATTTTTATCTAGTTGGTTTTTGCTTTTTTTTTTCATTTCTAAATATATTAGGATTATGATGGAAACTACCCTTATTGTAGCGGTATATATTAAAAAAAGTAACATTGCTAAATTCCGAAAATTTAAATATTTAGATTTGGATCAGTTTAATATTAAAAAAATTGTAATAAAATTATATTTGCTAACATCCAATGTTCTTTCTCCTAATGAATTAACAGTTATAATGGCCTCTTCAACAGTATTATTTAGGCTACCCCCAACAGATGATTCCTTACGCTTCCAAGAGCTTTTTGCCAAACCAAGATTTGATTACTCTTTAAAAACCAAAAATGGAACTGCCAGCTGCCAAAGCCAGTTTTTGAAGAGGACAGCGAAGACGCTGAAGACAAGGAGAACATTTAGTACAATTATTAGACAAGATTGCAAGTTTTTATAATATAAAAATATGAATATATTAAAGGTATATAATTATTAAAGTAGAGAGAGGGGACTCTTTTGGTAGATATTTTAGCATTCCAATTTATCTCGTGACACATTAATGTCTTTTAATATTTAATAGGTATTAATATTAATAATTTTATTCGAGATATCTATTTCTAAGGTCATATATTATACAGGGTGTCCCAATTTATATAAAACAGAGACAGGTTATAGATCTCATATTTTTAAGCAAAAAGGTTCATATTAACAATTGTCCGATCTGAATCAGTAGCAAATATGGAATATACAAAGCGGTGCGGATGAGACACCGATAGCCGACGGTAAATCAACTAGCGCGAACCCTTTTAATTTTTTTTTATATCAAAATATGGTTGACGTTTTGTTATGATCTACACACATTTTATAAACTTTTATAAAAAATAACTTTTTTTGTTTTAAAAGTTTTGTAGTGGAAAAAAATTCCTAGGATAAAACCAAAAAAATTGCATTTTTAGTTTTTTTGTTTTGTTTAAAATAATACATTTACGTAAATTGTAAAGTGATTATTTTGGATTCTGCGGTCATATTGTAGTACATGTTATACTTACTCTATACAATGGTACCAATATCTCGTCTTTTGAAAACAGTGCCTTTCTACACACCTCCAGTTTTATAATCTCCAAAATATTAGTTTTTAATAAATTAACAATTTAGCCTGGACACTCAGTTCCCCCACAGAAAGCATAATTACACTATTATGTAGCTTATCCAAATGACATGGTCCCCTATACCTGCCAAATTTCACTGGATCGCTGGTTGACTATGGTTCCTATACACGATCGGCCATCATGGGTGATCTTAGGCGGGTACCATCGTGTGGAAGGCCTATTTGTCGGTGATCAGCCATGATTGGCAGTGATCGTCGATAATAGTCAGTAGTTGCTTTTGTGTGTCCACACGATCGCCGATTTCTCAGTTTCTATTTGAATGTAGTAGGTACTAAGAAGCAATTATTGAGGAATTTACAATGGCGATGTGAACTAACGAACAAACGTTTGAATTTAAAGAGCTATGTCAGGGCGAGCCAATGTTATGGAAGCCTAAATTTAAAACTCACAAAGATCACGATGGACAGCTATCATTCACCATCTTCTTTTTATCTTTTTCTTTATAATTTTATTATTAACTTTGTTTATACGATTATATGAACAAATTACATATACAGCAGTAGCTTCAAGCTGCAACCAACTCGCCACCGAGTTCAACCTTGAACAATGGACAGAAAAGAAATAACACAAGCGATCGTGTGGATGACAGCACAATGATTGGATCGATGATGGCCTATTATGCAATGGCTCATCATGGCCGATCGTGTATAAAAACCTTGAAAGGTATTTAGGCACCGATCACAATTAAGTGGCGTGAGACCAGTCACCGTTTGGATGAGTGAGCGAGCTCATTCAATGGGGAGAAATGTGACATCCAAAATGGTGGCTCAATAAGCACATGGGACTGTAGTGCCGCCATGCTTGAATCACATAGGAGGAAAGGCAGACTGTTTGGATGAAAGGACAAAAAGCTAACTTTCAAGTTAAAACAGAAAGAAAAATGGGAAAGTCGTATTTTATTTAGGTGATTGGTGGGATATATATTCTCTGGGGTATATATTCTCAACATTTTGAAGTAAAAAAAAAAATAATAATAATAATAATAATAAATTTTAATATTGGTGGGTTCTATTGTTGAGCAGTAGGGCATTTGCTTTCCAGCGGCAAGCTTTAGCAATAAAATTAGATCGGCCTAGCTTCAAAGAGCAAATCAAGTAATGGGGGGCGGTAGTCGCAATCTGACAATATATCCAGATGGAAATAAATTGAAAATAATTTATAAAATGGGGAAAGGTAACATAACAGCTAAAAACACTCGTGATGAATGTAATGGATGAAAAAATCACATTAAACACTAAAATATTTTATTCTTCAACTGTTCCAGAAAATGTGCAATTTCGTTATAATACAATGCATATAATAATAATAATAATAATAATAATAATAGTCTCCCTAATTCACCCCCTTACGAGTGAATTTCAACCTCTGAAATTGACTGAGCGACTTGTGTAGGGGAAGGAACGGCTGTTATTATTTGCCCTGGCGCTCCGGGGCGACTTAAAGATAATTGATGGGTGCCATTTGACTTACAGGTAAGGAAAACCTCGTCCACCATGTTCTGTCTGACTACCACGATTCTGTCAATAAATGGTGTTTTCATTTAGCTAAACTATGTTAGTTTTTATTGGAATGGTTTTTTGGTGCGCTAAGTTTAGACGCTAAAACGGCAATTCATTTCTTTTAATAGTATATCAAGCAATGACGAACAACTACTAGACCAATTTTGTTTACAAAAGACAAATTACAAGCATTCACGTTGTTATCCACATAGTTGCCAAACTATTACAGGTTAGCCTATGCATAAGGATTGTTTGCAGTTATAATTCGGAATTTACTTAACAAAAGACTTGCATTACGTTCTGCTTGCCCTGAAATGTGCTTACTCATCTAGTAAAACACTAGTTTCTTCTTTTTGAAAATATGTTCTGTAGAAAAAAACGTTATTTTTTATTCTCAAAAATCAATAGCTCTGTGGACATGCCATTTGGATAGACTATAGATAAAGTAGTGTCTAAAAATATACAGTTCTGTTAACAGGTAATTATGATGTATACTTTTGTATTACAAATTATTATAACTTAGGTTTTAAGTACCCTTTTTCCTTTTAATTGGTAGAAAAAACAATTTTTAAATTACTTTGTAAAAGAAAAAAATGTAACACGAGCTCTACAGTTAATATCGTCAAGCGTATCAGGAGTTGATGGGAAAGCCTGTAGAGCTTGTATTGCAATGCGTTTCGTTTACAAAATAGGCTGAATAAGCAACATAAACTTCGACAGATTTTTAGCCTTCCAAAAAAATAGATCGGTATTATAATAATTACAAATTTTATCACCCTGTACATAATTTTATAGAGCAAATAAAAATTTTAAGTCACCCTTGTATATATATAGTTTTACATTTTGGATTAAATCTTTAAATGAAACTAATATGGCAGTATTGCATACAAATATTTTACCTAAAAAACATTTGTGTTCAAAATGAAACAAATAGATACAAAAAGTACATTTGAATTCATTTTCTGGTCATTTTTTTTTTTTGGATTATGCTTAAGATTTTATATAATATTTCTGACTATTGTCAATAAAGTTTTAATCAAATTTCAAAATTGAACTAAATGTTAATTTCGATGTTTTGATAGAGGTATGTATAGCATTTTATGTTAAAAAAACAAGTTCACTTTAATGTTAAGATACCACATCGATCTCTCTTGGTGACGCTAAAGTAGGGGGTATGACTTGAATGATATTGTGAGAGGGTGAGTTACCAAGAGGTTGTCTCACTCTGTTTTCAGCGTTTTCTCTGGCATCATTGGTGGCTTGCTTGATTGCTTCTTTATAAGGCCCTTTCTTCTTTTTGTTGTATCGAATCTTAAATAAATTTAAATTATTATGATCAATAGGTAAAGAGGGATATAATTATTATTAGTGATGAGTCGCATGGAAAAGTCCACGGACAAGTCCGACGAACTAATCTGAAAAGTTAACTAGTCCAAACATACTTTTCCAGAGATAAGGGACACAAAGATAGGGAACGCAACGACCGCAGCAACAATCTATGCGTCTCAGATGTTAACTAAAAATATACTTCGTTTGCAGTGTTGCCAAATATATTTTTTTAAGAGATCGTACAAGTAGAGTAGGAAAATGGCATTTCGACAAAAAAAATCGTACAATAGGTACATGTATAGCATTATATAGTGATTAGATTTCAAAGGTGAATTTTATAATTAATACTACAAGATGGTTTTCATGAATCTCATTTCAGAGATACTTTTGTAAAGTATACTACCACATGTTGTTAGTCAATATGTCTATTTTTCGTTTGCATTTACATTTATATTATCACAGAATAAACAATATACAATAACAATTAATATTATTTAATTATTTAAATGTACATTAGAAAAATATTTTTATTCCAATTTCAGTCTATCTAGTTCAATGTTTTGAAAATAATTTTGAAATAAGTCAGCATTTTTATTATTATAATTTACACATCGAACTAGATACGAAATTGTTTATTATTAATTGCATATGAAATTAAATATTTTAATTCAATAAATAATTAATTTCATATACAGGATGTTAATTTAATTGGTGAATATAAAGAAAAATGTTCAAATCTGAACATATAGCTTAAATGGAATGAAAAAATAAAAAAAACTTTTGCATGATAATTTATTTATCTATTCATAAAAATGTTTACAACGAAAAAAAAAATACATGAAACTTTAAATTAACACATAAAGTAATCAATGACTGTCACTTGAAAGTGATTGAAATTTTGTATACAAGCTTTTCTTATGCCGTGATAGTTTTTAAAGTTGTTGCAGATATTTAAATAAACCTACTAAAAAAGTGAAGATCATATTTTTTCGTACGATCTCACTGATGCAATCGTACATCGTACAGAATTAAAAAATCGTTTAAATACGATTTAAATCGTATGGTTGGCAACACTGAGACAGACAGTAGAAGTGGACAGCAGCGGTCAGTTTGTAAAAATAAATGTCAGTTTTATGTATTTTGAAGAATCCTGAATTTAAATTTAAAATTTTGAGTTCATGATTGTGTTATCCTCTAGATGAACTAAGCGAAATAGTTGTGGCTGTTTTTGTGTGAAATTTAAGGACAGTAATTATATTTTGTAATATTACAATAAGTTGAATGTATTGCATTAGTAACACATGCCACATGAATAAATTTAACAACTTCAATGTGGCGTTCTTTAATTAGCCAAAGTAAGATCTAGTCATGTAAGTAACATAAAAAGGAACCAACTTTTGTCCCAAAGTAGGTATTTATGTATTATTTATTGTTTTAGAACAAGAAAATGGCTTCAAAACGTTAAAAAGAAGATTTGATATAGGAAGAAAAATATCTGAATTCCCATTATTGAGTTCGCACTCAAAATTTTTAAATGACACCATTGGCCAATCGTTTTGGAAAATAAAAACAGAAATGTAATGTTACAAATAACGATCAAAAATTAAAAAATATTTGTCAAGAATAGATTTACAATAATCGATAATAGACTTGTAAGTGTAATATTATTTTTAATAAATAATTTAGAGTAATTACATTGTTTAAATTTATTTACAAGAACATGACAATGCAGTCGATATTTATACAACCTTTATTATCAGGTTTTTCAATTTCCCGCTACGTTGTTTGATATCGATGAAAGCGCCACATAGTCGGTCAGATGTTAACTGTGTTAAAGCTGGGGCGGGATTCCGTTTTGTGTCGAGTAACTCGATCTCGATATGATTCATAATTCGATCGAATTATGAAAAGCGGTTCTATAGTCTCTATCTGGTTTCGACTCGAATTTGATATCAAACTCCATAATTGCAATTCCGTTCAACGAAATTCGACAATAAACTCGACCAAATAAGTCGATAGCTCTAAAGTAGTCGATTCGATATCAAATCACTAAAGTTGAATTTTTTTGACATTAAGTATGAACCTTTCCTGCAGGAATGTTCCTTTTCTGAATAACCTCTCCTGCATTAAAGGCCTTATTTTCTCTATTAGGTATATACGGGGTCATTACTATTTCATATGGACAGTATCTGTAAACGTCTGGAGGGTGGGTTAACCCATGGCACTTAGGCATCACTAGGCCCATTGTGCATCTTCCTAATTAGATAGACACCTACTAGCTCGTGAGCCAGGGGCAGTATTCCTATTTCTTAAACGGTTACTGATAGAAAAATGGTTAAATTTGACAAAGTTGCGCAGTTTTGTGCTTATTAAAATGGCACCAGAAAACATTTGATATCTACAAGGAAATTTAAAATGTCTGACAAATAACGAATGAATGAATTTAATGAAATGACAATTTTATTTTGTTGTCCAATATTTTGAATCTCCCTCTAGATATCAAAGGTTTCTTGGCACCATTTTAATAAGCACAAAACTGCATAACTTTTCTCTTATTTAACCAACCCTCTATCTGTTAGCGTTTAAGAAATATCAATACTGTCCCTATGAAATAGTAGTAACTCTGAATACTACTTGAAACATATATGAGGTTTTATTAATTACATAAAACGCTATAAAATATAAATGAATAAAGGTAGGTAATCTTTATTCAGCCGAAAAAGCTATCCACAACGATTTTCAGAGAGTTCGAAAGGATCGCTTCTTTCCCTTAGGTCATTCTTTCTTTAGCGCAATATTATTAAATAATAATCTTTTTACAATTTACCCCATTACGAGTGATCCCTGCAACTCTGAAAACCTAGCTGGTATCGGGGAGGGACAACTGTATTATTATTATTTTCCATGGCGCTCCAATGGAACTTACAGATGGTGTCATTTAACTTATAGATGAGGATACCCAGAAAAAACCCCAACCATCATCATAAAAAAATAAATAATTAATCTTATGGCTAAATCAAATACAATACTATTTAATTGTTGTTGGGGAGGGACGACTATTATTATTTTCCTTAGCGTTCCGAGGCAACTTCCAGATGTCATTTGAATTATAAATGAGAACACTCCGGAAAAAACCCATAAGAATAAAACCTAATAAATAATTCACGTCAAGGCAAAAGAAATACAATTAAGTTTTGTTATTTGACGTTTAAAAGTCAGAATAGTTCGAATGCTTCATTATTTTGTTGAATTTCCGAAGATTTCCGAATTCAAAACAGATCGAGTAATAGAATCGCTTTTTATAATTCGATCGAATTGTGAGTCGAGTTACTCGACACAGAACGGAATGTCACGACTTTTAACGTCAAACAACAAAAATTAAATTGTAATTATTCATTAGTTTTTATGCTTATGGGTGGGGTTTTTCCAGGGTATTCTCATCTATAATTCAAATGTACATCTCTATGTTGCCTCGGAGGGCCATGGAAAATAATAATAGTATTCCCTCACCGGGCACAAATAACTGCATTCAGAGTTGCAAGATCACACATAATGGGTTGAATTATAAAACTATTATTTATTATTATAAGGCTAAAGAAAGGATTAGCTACAAAAAAGAAACGATCCTTTTGAACTTCCTGAAAAGAGAACCTATCATAATATATTTTGTATCGTGTTGTATAATAAATAATCCTTTTGTTGATATTCTAAGAATATAAAAAACCTCTGTTGCACGATAGGTTATCCAGAAAAGGAATTGCCAGAGACATAGGTATGCCCTGAAAACTAAATTACTTTCTACCCTAAAATTTTGAGCCACATGCTTATTATTCAACCTCATTGACAGGTCATACCTAATGTCAAAATAATCCAACTTTAACGATTTGATATCGAATCGACTACTCGTTAAACGGAATTGCTTTTATGGAGTTTGATATCAAATTCTAGTCGAATCGTGAAATGGAATTCCACCCCTGGTCGTTGTTAAGCATTGGCTTCTTATGAGCGTTTCCTATCTTTATCTCCCTTATCTCTGATGCTCTTCAAAAGTGGAAAATTGTATTGCTCATGCGCGACATTAAATTAACTAATTTTTCTGAATTTTTTACAATGGCAAAATATAATTTAAAAAAGAAGAAACGTCAAATGATTATTGACTTTTATAATATTTAACAAATTATCGAATTTCCATTTCATATCTTATTAAAATAAACACGTTAAAAAAATGACCATTAAACCAAAGGTTGGAAGTATTTTACAAATGATTTGCCTAACAAAACGAAAATGCTAATATAGTTCCCAAAGTGTTTTTGAAACAACATACAGGATATAGATTTAACTGTATGTCTTCTATGCCCGAAGTCGACTACTTTTCATTGTGACTTTTCATTACTTTTCCGGGCATGTCCATCGGACTAGTCTAAAAATTACTTTTCATGAAAAGTCCCATCACTAATAATTATACAGATTAACATCCGAAATAAGTACCGAAAACTGAGGCAATTAATTTTACCACAACAAAAGTCAAGAAATGCATAGGTCTTATTTTACAAATTAATTGCGAACCTGTTAAGAAATATTAAATTATATGGTAGAAAAAATTAGCCGCAGAGCAAAACGCCACCTTGTGGGGCCAGCCAATCATGGTTACAAATACAAAAAATAAAAATATTGATTTTTATGATTTTACAAATAACGCCACCAGATGGTTTGCCAAGAAAAACAAACTGTGATATACTACTAACACATTGTCAGTGTAATATATTCACCTTAAAGTTGTCTAAGTAATGGCTGAGCTGATCGCACTGCATCACAGAAGATGTAGAAGAACCATACCATGCAACATGAGCTTGCGCTCCTTGAGTTCCACAACTAGTCATCGTTAAGATCTTTCCTGGCCACCAAGGAAATCCATGAATTTTACCCCAAACTACATCACCTACCAGCAAACGAACTCCTAAAGAAACAAGAGTCATGGTTAATTTTTAATATAAATATTTAAAAAGGAAACACAAAATCTACAACAAATATTATGCTTAAATCGGACTTGGTCATGGAATTTGACACATTTCACTGCATATAATACGAATTAATATTTTTTAGAGGTTATGAGATGACATTTCATTTTCGTGATTTATAACTGTGTCGCCAAATGTATGGAATAAAAAAATTATGGAACTAGAGAAATGCATAATCAGTACATGGTCCATATACATACATGCATTTTAGTTTTTATTTAAATAGCGCTTGACAATGGAAATTTGACACATTTCATTGTTTATATTATATTAGCCATTCCAACGAACTGTCAAAATTGATGCGTGTGGGCTTTGACAGGGTTATGGAGTATAGAGGAATGAAGGACAATCCCATATCGTCGGCCTAAGATAAAAATGTCCTAACCGAAATAGTATATTACATTAAGAGTGTCCTACGCCCACAAAATAATTTCATCAAAAAATGTAAAACCAGGTTATTATTATAATAATTAAAATGTATTTAAAAAAATAATCAACACTAATTGTATTTATTCAATTTTCATATTTTTCCAAACAAAAAAAAAACAAAAAAAGTTGTTATACCATCTACCATGATTCGAACGCAGGTCCGCCAGCCGCCTCTTGAAAGGCAAGTTAATTACCTTACTACACAAACCACTGAGCTAACACGTATTGTGTCAAATAAGTTATTTATTCGATTATGTATTTAACCAGAATAAAAAGCAAGATAATGTTATTTTAAAATTATATTAATAATTGTTAAAAATAAATATCTTGGATCTAAGTTTAAACATAAATTTTAATAATTTATTCATCATATCGATTTTACTATTAAGGAGATCCTTTCGCCACCCCTTTCGCCACCAATGTTAAATAAAAAATATTAGATTATGACTAAAATTAATTTTTTTTCTAATAGTTGAAGTCTTTATTTTTATCTAATAGTGAACTTTTAACTATACCTTACCGTGCTTATTTTTGAAAAAAAAAAAAAAAAATTAAAATGTGAGTATTTGTACAGTGTCTTACAAGAAAGTAAGACCTCAACAACAATTCTCGAATTATACTATTATTTATTGATTAGATGGGGTAGAAAAAAACTAAAAATAAGGTTTTTGAAATATTTAGGTTTTGTTTTTTACAATAAAATATATAGTTTACCGCGGAATTTATTGAGAAACTAATATTAAAAAAAAAATCAAGTAACCTAGTAGAAAATTTTTTAATATTAATTTCTCAATAAATTCCACGGTAACCTATATATTTTATTGTAAAAAAACAAAACCTAAATATTTCAAAAACCTTATTTTTAGTTTTTTTTTACTCCATCTAATCAATAAATAATAGTATACTTAATTATAATTCGAAAATTGTTGTTGAGGTCTTACTTTCTCGTAAGACACTGTACAAATACTCACATTTTAAAAAAATGTTTTTTCAAAAATTTCCACGGTAAGGTATAGTTAAAAGTTCACTATTAGATAAATAAGGACTTCAACTATTAGAAAAAAATTAATTTTAGTCATATTCTAATATTTTTTATTTTACATTGGTGGGAAAGGACCTCCTTAATATGGACATTACATAAATCAAAATAGAAATGATGCGTTTGACATTATGTGACAGCTGATGCGGAAATGTAAAACGAGGTTTATATTATAATAAATAAAATGAATTTAAAAAACAATAATAATCGTATTTATTCAATTTTCATATTTTCTAAACAAAAAAAAAACTAAAAAACAAAAAAAAAATCAAAAAACAAAAACAAATTCTGCTCCCGCAAGGATTTGAACGCGGTAGCTCGACAGGGCTCAAATGGAAAGTTGATAAAGTTTGATACTCTATCGCCTGAGGCTAATAGACCTTGCGTCAATTTAATGATCTAATCGGTTATGTGTTTAACCAGAATAAAAAGCAAACACAACTTAGTTATTGTAAAATTATTTTAATAATAATTGTTAAAGATAAATATCTAGGATCTAATTTACAACAATTTCAATAATTTAACAGTCATTGATTTTAGTATTAATATGGACATTACATAGATCAAAATAGAACTCCTTCACATTAAGGTTAAGCCTGAAAGTTTTTTGCCTCTCCTGAAAAATATACTTTAGGAGTAAGCCCATTTGCATCTCAGGCCGATGATATGGTTGTTTATCTCACAAAGTGTCCACCCAAAAGCAGTAAAGAAAATGACCACCAGAATGGCGCTCGTGTACTAGAAGAGCAAGATTCAATGAAATATAGTTATATAGATTGCTCATCTATATATAAATCAGACGATGAAAATCGGGTTTCTATTTGAGTAATATAGAGATAGACATACATGAGGGGGAAAAAAGTTATAAATAGGTAGGGGAAGGTAGGGACGTTTGGGTCACTTTTTAGAAAATTTGATAAATTATTTGAAAATAAAACAAATATTACTTTAATGTCAGACAGTTGTAATTAGTAATGTTTTACTATCAATTTGCATAACATTTTTTTAAATATTATTACATAGGATCATTATAAAGTACAAAAAATTCAGAAGTCGCTATCTGACCCAGACCTCCCTTATAGTGGGAGGTATGGGTCAGGTAATGGGACTGAATGGGTCACTGACTATTTGTGGTTTTTCAGGTGAAAATGTAAAGATTTGCGCATTTTAAGACCTTTTATTAATTGCATACAAGAGTCAAAATAAGAGTCGAAATAAGAATACAAAGAAAAATATGGATTCCTAAAACAAACAAATATGTATGTATCATATGAGACTCAAATCATAAAGACATTTTAATTCAGATTTTGAAAACTGTCAAGTCAATATCGAAATTAAAAAAGCTTTGTGTTCTGTTGGTACCAGTCACGTTATTCGGAGGAATCAAACGCAAAACTATATCGCAAAGATCAACTTCTGAAATATCCATTTGCTGCGGGTAATAAAACGTGTTTGAATTTGTTTTCTTGCGCAAGAAATTAATCACATAATTTCCTTGTTCATTTACATTTTGTATGTTTCCAACATAATGCAGACAGGTACGTTTTGTAGGGAATTTGACAACTACATAATCTCCAACTCTAGAACAAGTTGCAGAGTGATCAAAATCTTCAGGCCTACGATCATCTTCTGGATCGTATTCTGAAATGTCTGAATCCTGCTGTTCTTCACTAGCTTCATCGCTTTCACGTCTTCTGATATGCTTAGCAGTGACTTCTTTTTCTTCATCTTTTTCTGACTAATCTCTTCACAAAAATTCCTCTTTACTGTAGCCACTTTTTTCATAGCCCTTTTATTTTCTAATCTTTCTATTTCGTTTTTCTCTGGCGTTTCTGTTAGAATTCGCGTATGCCCTTTAACACGCCCCCGATTTGATGCAGTTCTAGGTTTTGCCTTGGGATACGGCAAAACGGATTCAGGAGTTATAAGAGTCGTTCTGTGTAGAAGTCGTAGGTATAGTAGAAGTCGTAGGTGTAGTAGACGCCGTAGGTGTAGAAGAAGTCGCAAGTGAAAATGAGGTTGAAGTCGTAGGTTCAGCTTCATCATTGATTTGTTCTGGTTGTGGTCGGTCGGTAACTGCAGACATTAGAAAATCGTCAGCTGAAAAAATTTGCGGATTGAAAGGGTTAATGCCGGTTTTTTGAAATCCTGATAGTATGTTTTGTCTTGACATTGCACCATCAAAAGCTGTTTTGGCTAAACCTGCTATGTGATAAATGGTTCGTCCGGGATTTGACGTCATCCAAGCGGAAGATGTATTGTAGCGTGCCTTAAACGGGCCATACACAGATACGTCCAGCGGTTGCAGACGGTGGCTGCAATGCGGCTACGGATATGACTTCTACATTGACGTGGCTTTCATGATTATCAAGTAACAGCAGACAAGGGTTTTCCTTGCAACAAGCAACACATTGTTACCAATGTGCCCCTCTCCGCAGATGTAACTTGTCCTACTTGTTTCTGGCCTTTAACTGCTAGTACTTTTGGGGGCTTATGGACTGTGGTAACGGATGTTTCGTCGCAGTTATATATATATATATATATATATATATATATATATATATATATATATATATATATATATATATATATATATATATTGTCTGGAGAGAATTTACATTTTTCTAAAATGTACCTCAGATTTTCAAAGAATTTGCCTACATTATGGGCATTAAAGCTTGTTGCCTCAGGTTGTCGTATAGAAATCTGAGGGTGCCGCTTCATGAAACCTAGTAGCCAATCACGCTTAGCAGCTTTAGACTCATCCCATTCCTTTGGATAACTGATTTCTAGCTTCCTCGCATATTGATAAGCGAACTCCCTCGTTTCTTTAGTGGTCAAACCGTAATGCATTTTGCTGCAAGTCTGCAAATACTCTGACAACATTGTTTCTTGCTCGTTTGAAAACACGCGTCTAGAATATGGGTTAGCTACGAAAGTATAATTCTGTTGATTCTCTAACGGCATTTTCTTAGTATTTTGCACATGCCTTTGCAAAGCGGACCTCGAAAACCCTAGATTTGCAACTACTTGCCGAGCTGATATGTTATTCTGAAGAACGAGTTGCACAGCTTGTGATATCTGCTCAGGAGTCTTTCTTTCTCTGTCAGTTTTCTGTTTATAAGTGTAAATCTGTAAAGAAAAATTAAATATGACCTTTCACTAAAAGAACGTGGGGAGGTTTGGGTCGGCTCAAATCTCCCGTGCGCTGCTGACCCCCTAACCTCCCTCTCATCAATATTCACAAAAAAGCATCTACCTTATGCTAACAACATGTTTTAGGTTATAATTTATCACGTACGTTTGTCACTTAAATATCAGTTTAATCACAGAAAAAATTAAAAGCGCGTCATGCTACATGCAAGCTCAAAACTGTGACCTACTTATAAAACTATTTTAAGTAAAACTTACCTAAAAATTCACTTATTTTCACAGGACACTAAACACGCAAGCAGACAAACATGAGCACATATATGAGCACCGCAACCAGTAATACATGTACGAGCGGAAAATATTTACCAAAGATGGAAATAAATTAACTGACCCAATCCTCCCACGACCCAAACATCCCCACTCTCCCCTAATTAAAAAATTGAAAATTTCTACAATTTATTGGACTAATTATACAAAAATGGCAATTTAATAACATTTTAGGATGAAGTTCAGAAATCAGAAATCTTTTGTTACAGCTTCATAATTAATAAACTTACGGAGATATGCTTTGAATTATAAAGCTTCATTCCAATTAAAAAAATATAATATTAAAAGATATGTGGAAAAGGGACAACACCAAAAATGTTTGTGAAATTTCGATGTAGAAATCGATCATTTTTATAATTACACTTGATGTGCAAACATTTTAAATATAATTATCAAATTTTAATTTTACAAGATATTGGAAAACAATCAAGAATTAAAAAGTGTATTTTGAACGATCCACTAATTACAAATAATCAAAGAGTTTTATAAACTATTTTTATTTTCACTGAAACATAATTCTTTAAATGTTTAATTTCAAAAAGAACAATAAAAAGTTTAGTCAATAAAATTAAAATTTGAAATAAAATATATAAAAAATAGAAGTTCTACCCCATACAGCACACATTATTTCAGAAGCGTTTCAGAAACATTTCAAACATAACATTTCAAGCACAAGTTTCTGAAATATTTTAGTTAAATATCTCACTGAAAATGTTTCGGAAACATGTTATACATGTTACACAAAACGTTACAAAACGGGTTATAAAAGGCCAAGAATGAATAAAAAATTTCTCATTTGTAAAAAGATAGGTATTTAGTAGTCATTTTATTCCAGAGACAACCCTATATTCTAAATTATTGGAAGTTGCGTTTGTTGTCTTTGGAAATTTTCTACAGAAATATAAGGCTTGTAAGAAGGTTATATTATAGGTTAATTTACTTTATCTCACTCACTGTGACAAGTGACGCAATTTTGTTTATCAAATTTGAGTAAAGTTACACGTAGAGTTACTTGGCAGATCAATGGACTTAGTTTATAGTCTGATCAGCAAACAGTTACTTTCAACTTTACTCAGAGGTGAAAATACTGACAGTGTAATTTTTATCTAAATATAACCTACATTTGTTATCCCTCCCCTAGTTTTATTTATTAGTTCTACAGCTCTGACTGGAAAGCACCTTGTTTTGTTTAGGCATGATATTTTCTTTTGATATAGTTAATTTAAATCAATATTCATTAAACTACTGTTAATCAACTAATTTGTTTTTAAGTACTTATAATTTGTTTCAACTTAGTACATTTATTAGTTTAAGAATAAATGTTTATGTTTTGTGTTTTAGTCTTTTTTAGTCTAATAAAAATATTACAATGTAATATATTGTATTTATTTTGCAATGATATTCCAGAAATATTTTAGAAACGTTTCATAATATTTATGAAACAAAACTAGAGTCAAATTTTTATTACAACAAAATATTACTGTGAAATACTAAATTTACAGGACATTTTTACATTTCAGAAATGTTTCTGGGACGTTTAGTAATATTTATACAACATTACAAATATTTCAATGTAACATTTTTGCAATATTTCCGAAATGTGTTTGCGCTGTATGGGACATTAACAACTAAAATAACTACAACTTTACAAGATATTGGAAAACAATCGAAATGTGTACTTTGAAGTGTACTATTTACGTATGGGTGAGCAACCAATATAAAACTATAGATATCATTGGTGTGATTGTGTGATCTGAATAATCACAACTTTCGGTGCCATTGTAGTACAGTAACGCCATCTTAATTTCATACATTTGGAGGGACACTTTTTATAAACAGAGATGGTTCTCCTTACCCCTACACTTCATAGACAGGGTCAATGATATAGTTATATAGATTGCTCAAAGAGGGTCTCATTGCAAGAGGCCATATTGCCTTGCAACTCGCAAGTGTTTTTTAATCAGGATCGGTTAAGCAAAAATGTGTGTAAAACCAATTTTCAGCTTTTGAATATAGTAAAAAAATAATTACATTTTTACTTCTGGCATGCCAACAAATCCTTTTGCTGTAATTGAAGGGAAAATAAATGCGACGATTAAAAGATAAAAGCCCACTTTTGGCCTTTCGCTAGTGGCTCAGCATTATGTTGCTTGATGATGGCCTCATGAAGGGTAAGTAACTGTATTGGGTGAAAGCATTGTAAAAGTCAGAAGGCTTTTAACTGCCGCAGACCCAACTCCAACAGTCCAGGAGGGCCCCGCCCCGCGTTCATAGATGGAGACACGGATGATCGCTTATTACATACTCAACGAGTGGACATATACTATGAGGCCAGTCTCGCATTGCTGGTATTCACTAATCAGTATTCATTGTAATTTTTTACTTTTACATATTAATTTAGAATATTTTATTAATAATTTTTTTGAAGAAGACATTTTTTCTGTATTATATTATATAGCTAAATTAAATAAAATGTCTACAATATTCTATATTAAAATGCCTTCTGTTTTTGTATAGAATTTATAGTTCAAACGGTACTACTGGTCAAAGAGGTACTATCTAATATCCTGTCTGATCATGTGCCTGACACATGGCCTTTATTAATATGATAAAAGGCAAGCAACTTCCCATCAATAGGCCATTAATTGCCAATATATTTATTTCTAGACATTAAAGGGGAAATGAAGGCCCATTAATTGGTTATGATGGCAAAGTGACTTCGGCTCGACTGTCAAAAGTTAAATGGCCATTAATGTACTTAAAGGGTGACAGTTATTGGGCATTTAATTCCCCTACCCAAAATGTTTGTTGGGTATGTTAATTTTGAAAAACATGGATAATCAATCTATGTAACTATTTATATCACTGACACTGTTCAATCCATCCACAGAGTTGTTGTATCATTGCCCACAGGTAACCATTTTGTTTGGAATGCCTAATTGCATGTCCCATCTCTTGATCTTCCTATGCAGAATAAATAATATTTGACTCATAGTCAACCTCGACTTAAACAGAAAATTAATAGATTTCTGCTAATTTAAAAATAATTAAATGGTAAACATAATAAACTAAAAAATAAACACCTCACAATCTTACCATCGGCCCCTACTGCACTGGAAATACTGAGGGTATTTATCCTTAGCATCAGTGGCGGGTTAGAAGGGGGAAAATTTGGAACAGTCTCATTATGTTCATCAGAACTGGAAATATCCTCATTTTTTTCTAAATTCGTATAAGAGGTATAGGTATTATTGAGACGTTTTAGATTTATTGAAAGCTTCTGAGTAATATATAGTTCTTTTGAGTCGTCTTGGGTTGAACTTACCTAAACATAAAATTTGGTGTTATCTATAAATTTAACAAGAGGGTCTATTAATTTCGTTTTTTACAGCATCGTCAAATTTTTCTTACTTCTCCTTCCTTATGCTTTCTATCCTTATCTTCTTTGTGTTTCTTTTTGTGCTTCATTTTATGTTTTCTTCTTCTTGGAACATTTAATTCATATGCTGTGCACATGTACCTAGGTGAATTATTGCCTAAACCTTGCCTTGGTGATGCACTCCCTATTGTGTATCTAGGTGACCCTCCTCCAAGATATAAAGGTGATCCTCCAAGTAGAACTTTCTTTCTTGCTTCCTTTTTAGCCTTTTTCAATGCTCTAGAAAAAAATATGTTGTTTTTAACAAATTCAACTAGAGGAGATGGGACTCTTCACTTTGTGTGGAAGACAGTTTATATGATGTGAATTATTTCCCCTATTTTCTGTGGTGTAGTTTAAAGCTCCAAATATGACGAAACCGGTCGAATGATTAGGTCATTTAAGGCATATTTATTTTTTTAAATTATTTATTTTAAAGGAAGTCTCCATTACAAACAAAAAAATCATATATATGAATCATAAACAACAAAAAGTGTTAAAAGTTGCCTAACGGATTTTAATAGTCTAGGGTTCCTCAAAGCACTTAAAATTTTTAAATTTTAATGTTTTTTTTTTATAAAATTGTCATTTAAAAAATATTGATAAGAAATATCATTTTAAAGCTGTGATAGCGGATAATAGGTACATTTTGTTACTTAAAATATTTTATATGTATTAGCACGACTTCCGGTTCCTCAAACAGATTTAATTTTGCAAAAATGATACGGCTTACGTGTTCTGTTAATGCCTAAAATGACCCGACACCGGCAGCAGGGCCATCGCGCGAGTCTGAAGTGTATTGTATTGTTTATTTACCGCTTTAACGTTTAATGATGTTATGTGTCATTACTTGTTTGTGCAACATGACTTAAAGCAAAAATGTACCAGAAAGGATCCTTTCGTTTGTGCGATTCTAAAACAAGTTGTGCCAAAAATTGAAGAAATTTGGCTTCATGCTTCAACTCATGTAGTGACTAAAATTCGAATATTGGACAAAATAAAAAAGTTCCATCAACGTTACAAACTTATTCAGAGAAATTTGAAATGCAGAAAGGATACTTAAGCGATTCAACTAACATTAGAGTCATTTAAAGTAGAAGCCTATAAGCTATTTCATATAGCTGCTTGCAAATTTATGGCTATAGGAACAGTAGACATTAAAGTAGAAAATTGCAAATAATGAGGCCGGAAAAACTAGTTTATTTAAAGAAGACCCTAAATCTAACTGTAGTTACTTAGTCATGCAAGAGAAAATTTAAGTATGCAGTTCTAGTAGTGAAGACGGTAAAGATGAAGATGCGGCTATATCTGAACATTTGTTTATAGTGTTTTTGTTTAGGTGAAACAAAATCAAAAAGGACGACTTTAGCAAAAAGGAATCTAAGATTGCAATCAGGAGCATCTGCCCTTAGCCCTTATCCAATGTAATAGATTTTTCGGACATCCGCAAAACTTATTGTTGTCCATGCTTACGGATGAAGATCCAAGATGCAGAGAACTTTGTATACGACGTGTCCTAAAGGCGAGGAGTAAAGGTAGACAAACGATACAAGCTTATTGATTTTAAAAAATTCTGAATAAAAATAGGGGGGGGGGGGGTTAAGGGGGTTTAGAAATAGTAAAAAAATCCTAACCCAAAAACTAAAAATGATATCAACTTGACATTTTTAGCAAAAATTAAGCTCTAGAAGTGGACAAAGCCTATTGATTTTGAAAAAAAAAAAAAACTAATTAAAAATGGGGGTTAAGGGGGCTGTTATAAAAAAACAAATCAAAAACGAAAAGCGATACCAACATGAAATTTTTGGTAAAAATGAAGCTCTATAAGAATATTAAGCCTATTGATTCTGAAAAATCTGAATTAAAATAAGTTGAAATATTTAAAAATTCTGAAAAATATTAACTAAAAATTGGGGATAAGGCGAGTTGAAATTAGGACTGGGCGATTATCAAAAGGGAATGAAGCCTATTGATTTTGAAAAAAAAAAAAAAACTAAATAAAAATGAAGTGTGATTGAAATATTTTGAAAAAACAACTCAAAAACGAAAAACAATATCAACTTGATATTTTTAGCAAAAATCAAGTTCTACATTATGACAACGCTTATGATTTAAAAAAAAAAAAATTGTGAACAAAATGAAGGGTTGGCCCTTAAGGGAGTGTTAAAATACCAAAAAGTAGAAATAAAAAACCAAAAGCGATATCAACAAGAAATCTTTAGGAAAAATCAATCTTTCTAAGCGGATGAAGTCTATTGATTGTGAATAAAATATGAATAAAAATGAGGGGTTAAGGGGACGAGGGTCTGTTAAACTGTGAAGAGAATCCTATAGAATGCCAAGTATTATGTATCTTCATTTTAGTTATTATTATACTCTTCACACATTAGTCTGTGTCCGTTCGAGGTCACGTTTTTTGTGGGCACGATAAGTCAAAAACAAAAAATGATATCAACTTAATTTCAGGAAAAATCAAGCTCTATATTGGGACGAAGCCTATTGATTTTGAAAAAAATCTGAATAAAAATTGTAGGGGTCAAGGGGGGTTGAAATAGAAAAGAAACCTATCTCAGAAACAAAAAACGATATGAAATTAAAATCTTTAAGAAAAATCAAGCTTTATAAGGGGATGAAGCACAGGTATTCTTAAAAAAAATCTAATTGAAAAGGGGGGTTAAGGGGGTCTGTTAAACTGTGAAGAGTATAACATATCAATCATTATACAATATATCTCAGTAAGTTGGAACACTATGCAAAACTTTTTTATTGGTTTTGTGAAAAAATTTATTCTTGATAAAAAATTCTGCATGGTCAATACTTAAAATGCAACCATCATAAAGCTGTATACAAGGTTTGTCAAAAAATATGATTTTTGCTGAAGAGTAAAGTACCTTTATTTTTGACAAACCTCATAAACGACTCATAAAATTTGATATCCGATGGTTGCATTTTAGGTATTAGACTATGCTCGACTTTTTATGAAGAATAGATTTTTTTCCTAATATTAATAATTAAAATGTTTTTCATGTGCTGACAACTTACGTTCAGTTATATGGATTTAAAAAATACTTATTCTAAAAATATTTTTGGATATACAGAGTGTTGCGTTTTTACCTGGCAAATAAAAATGTATATTTTATTTCAGTTTTATAATGCTTTGGTAATACTATATTCAACCCTGGAATTTTTATTAAGTATTACAGGTTTGCCAAGCAATTAATTTTTTATGAAATTAGATAATGATGCAGACCCCAAATTAAATTATCATAATTTAGGTAGGTTTACAATGATTTAAAAATTATTTAAAATACAGACTAATAAGATAGTAAACTAACGAATAGTGGTGATAGAATTGGAATATTTTAAACAGAGTGTTTTAAAATATGTCTTAAATATGGCTACCTATAGATTGCGCCATATATCTCATTTTTGCATCCTCGTCGTTTTTGCCGCCAGCTCCTCAATTGAGAAAATCGTAACCTCGCGTTTTGACACACTCTATATACAACATAGCGGTCAATTAAAATTGTTTGTAGATGTAAAAACAATCAAATATGTATAACTAACTACCTGTAGAGTGTTTTGCTTTGGTCAGCACCTTGTTTATGGAATACCCTGTATATTTAAAAATAATTGTTAAATGTGGTCATACAAGTTTTATATTAAAAATTTATTTCTTCGTATTTCCAATAATAAAAGAAATATCGATCAATTACGCACTGAGACACCCCATATAATAATAATAATAATAATAATAATAATTTTTATTGCTTATCAACTTATACAAAGTTACAGCAAGAGTTTGAGTGTAGTCACAGTAACATAAACATAATTCAAATTGAGCTAAAAGTAAAGTAAAAAAAAAAAAAAAAAATATATTAAATAATCATAGAATACTAGAATACATTATTCGTTCAAAATAAATGATCTCAATTTTAATATGTTACAAATATATGAGTAAATATACTTAGCATCATTGATGGTCAAATTTTCTAGTGTTGCAATAAGAGCATTTATATTTTCAAGTGATTGAATTTTAGGCTTCATAACATTGTAAATCGGACATTCAAAAAGAATATGTAAAAGAGTTTCGTTTTCCGCCTTATTACACACTGTACATATACTTTTGGGATCTATTGTGTACAAAATGTTATAAAAATCCAAAAATATAATATATTTAGAAAAGTTTTTTAAAATTATTAATATTAATAACTCTTGAAAGATCGTTTCACAAAAATAAATAATCACTTTACTTTCTAATTTAACAAAAATTATTTTAAAGAGAGTACAGACAATGTACGTGTTGTCAGGTCAAAGGTTCAACCCAAACTCGAGACACCCCATATATGTGTTGTCTAACATGTTGGTATTGTTGGATAGGCAAATTTATAAGGAATTTTATGCTAAAATAATACTTGAAAAATTGAGTAAATTAAACTTAAAATTAGCCATATTTAAGAAAAGTTTTAAAACACTCTATAAAATAAACCAGTTCTATCACCACTATTCGTTAGCTTATAAGTTTGTATATTAAACGATTTTGAAATCAATGTAAATCTATCTAAATTATGATAATTTCATAAAGAAATTAATTGATTGGCACACCTGTAATATTTTTTTAAAAAATTCTAGGATTGAATATAGTATTACCAAACCATTCTAAAAATAAAATATAGGGTGTTCTATTTAAAAAATAAACATTTTTATATGCAAGGCAAAAGTGCATGTAAAAATATTTGTAAAATATCTATTTTTCAAAACTATATAACTTGTATTTGAAACTTGTTTGCGTGTCTATAACACAAATTTAAATATTGAACAATTACGCACTAATGGGATACTCTCTATATGCTAATAAAACCTCACACATGAAATGGCTGCTTAACATTCTTATTACTCCAGAATCCAAGGGCACTATACCTAGGAGGATATCAAATAGAAGGCGATTTACCTAACTTGAAGCCACTCCAAATCCTACACTTCCTTGAGAAGATAGGATTAGAAGGGTCGTTATAGGCAATGAGACATTTCCTTGTTGCATTAGCGACAGAAGGGGGCACAATAGATCTTTTAGGTCGCAGTGTGTTAACACCCCATTCCCAACACAACATTCTTATTACAAATAGTTTGGCACACTACATATTTCCTCGCCATCCTAAATGTCCTTATTGAACAATTCAATGTTCAAATTATTCTCTAAAATCTCAAAAAACTACAAAAAACCACTACTAAAATTAAGTTGTCACTTGACGCCGTCAACAAAATTTCTTAGGTTGCCAAACTTAAAAGGTATGAACCAGAATGTTCAATATCCACATAGGATACATATGGAAAAGACGATAAATACAAATCTTAAGTGATTGTAATGAATAAAAAAAAAATCATATTTCTGCTTTCAATTCTTTATTTTTCTTTTTTTAATAGATTATATTAAAGGTAATAGTACATTTTTTAACAAACATTTTATGCACGATATTTGATAGAAGAGATCTGACAACATAGGAAGAAAGCGCACTGTCAGAATTCAATGTAAACAAAGCGTATCTATTATCCGATATCTTTGATATGAATAAAAAAAAAAAAAACATTTTATCACAATCGGTTTGTAATCTGTGGATTTGAGCCCTTCAAAACAGTCGGGAAGCGACTTATTGCTTACCTAATTTTGCGACTAGCCTAGTTTCTTACAAGCATTAAACACGACGAAGAGAAAAAAACGTCAAAGGGAAAACAGTTTTATCTATTGTTTATATACATACAATACACAGAGGAGATCCAAAGAGTATTTAAATAAATCATCCAGAAGACTATATCTTAGATTTATTTTGTAAAGTTGAAATCCCCAGCAAGAGATAATTTAGACTATTTCTGAGGTAAAGATAGTACATTTTACTCAAATGGCATATCTTGCTAAACCGATTCAAATTAATAAACACTTGCCAGGCAATATGGCAGCTCGTAAACGACCCGCTTTGAGCAATCAGGCCCACAGGGTTGTCATATCTAAACTTTCAGTTCCCACTGGCAGCATTTTGACAGGTCGTTGGAATCTATTATTTAATGGTATTTTTATTTTGACAGAATAGGTTAATTCTTCAAAGACAACTTATTAGACTTAGGCAACTTCTCATACATTTTCTCGTAAATACTGTTGCCTGTCTATGTTTTATTATTGATTTTTATTGATTAAACTTACTTTTTTTTTTAGTTGAAGCGTTAAAAATATATAATAAAAAATTTATTGAATAGGGATAATTTCCTGACCGTAGCAGAATTTTATATAAATAAACATTTCCTTGGTTTATTCTGCCATGTTTTTATTTTCTATCGTTTAACACAGCACTACATATGTTTCGGAATTTTTTTTTCCATCTTCGGGTACAATAAATCTGGGCATTAAATAAAATGATGGTATTGCTGTGGTTTTTATCAAGTCAACAAATGTGAAGTTTAAAAATACATATATCGTTTATTAACGAAGTCAGTTCTTTTGGGAAAATCGTTCAATATGGTGTATTTAACTGGAAAGCTCAAGATTGAAACTTTACAAATGATTGGATATGGAGATAGAGCCAGAACACAAACAGAAGTTACGCATCTATTCAGAGAAAAATATCCTTGCCTGCCACCCATATCGCAAAGTACTATGAGTAAAATAGAACAATTTAGGGAAAAACAAGTATTAATCGACAAACTGCCCTTAGTGAAAATATCAAAATGAATATACTACTATCTGCTCAAGAAAATCCTAATATCTCTACTAGGCAGATATCTAATTATGTAGAAATTAGCCAATCGTCAGTAGCACGAATTTTTAAAGAACATAAATTGCATCCTTTCAAACTTACAATCCTGCAGGAATTACTGGAAGATGATCCGGATAGAAGATTATTTTTATAAACAAATTATAGATCAACTAGACACGAACAACATTCTAGTAGAGAACATTGTGTTTTCAGACGAATCTACGTTTTTGTTAAATGGTGAGGTAAATCGACAAAATTGCCGATATTGGGCGGATAAGAATCCACGCTGGATGAGGAAAGGTCATACTCATGATTGTGAATGTTTGGAAAAGTTATAGGATCAATATTCTTTGCCGAAACTCTCAATAGAGTACGATATTTGGAATTCTTGCAAAAATTAGTCCCGCAATTGGCTAATTTGTTTCCTAACCCTGTACATGCTAATGTCCCGAATATACATTTGGTTTCAACAAGATGGTGCGCCTCCCCATTTAGCAAGACCTGTTCGTGAATATCTCGATGCTGTATTTCTAGGCAGGTGGATAGGTAGAAGGAGACTTATTGAATGGCCACCGAGATCCCCAGATCTCAATCCTTTGAACTTTTTTTATGGAGTTACTTGAAAAGCAAATTTTTTAAGACCAAACCGGCAAATGTTGAGGAGCTAAAAGCACGAATAAGAAATGAGTGTAGACTAATTTCGCCTTAAGTCATTAAAAATGTTCAACGAATTTCGATCGTGTTTAGAATATTGTGAAATAGTCAATGGACAACATCATGAGCATTTGCTTGATTGAAATAATTAAATTCAATGGATTTGATTACTTGTTTTTTTATAAATTTGTTAAGTTTTATAATCTTGTAATTGGTAAGAAATACAAATTTAATATTTGGCAGTTATGTATAACTTTACAAACCCTATACAAATAATAGCCATCAAAATGACAGTGTTGCCATAACAAAATCAACGATGACATCATATCTTTAAATTGGGACACCCTGTATATATTATCATTGTATGTAAAAAATCGCGATTGGAAATACTAATCGATGGCTCCGAGCATTTTTCAAAAAAAAAAAAATTAAAATTGGTCAAAATTAGTGGCTAATTATTATTTGTAGAAGATTAAATAAAATTCCACAAAATTTTAAAACTGGCAACGCTGTCGACTACATACGACTTACCCCGACTCATTTAAAAATATCAAAATTATTCTAACTCCTATAAAAGGTGATAATGATTTAACTGAATTTTAATTGTACCAGTATTGGGTAAAATAATAGAAATTATTATTAAAAAAAAGGTTAAGTAACTATTTTGACTTTTAACAATTATCTTAATAAAAGGCAATATACACTATACAGGCAACGTCCAACACTTGTAAGTGACATAGTTGAGGGTTTTGAGCTACACTTTGTGACCTCAGCAAAGCCTTTGACAGTGTCTTGTTTGAATTTTTTAAATATCCGAACAGCCGTCTCTTTACGGTGTTGTATATTCATGTATATTCTAGTTAGCATCGTTTGGAGCATGGAGTACCGCAAGGGTCAATTCTTGGACCACTACTATTTATAATTCATATAAATTATCTTTTTTGAACATATCAATTACATAAACTCTATTATATTTGGTGACGACGCAACTTTATATTACTCCAATTCAAATCTCAGTGAACTTCAACTCATGGACATCAATACAAATAATACATTAAAGGAGTGGCTTATTCAAAATCAACTGAAACTCAATGAAACCAAAACTCAAAAAAAATATTTACAACTACATAATTGTTCAATATTAAAAAATAACTTGGTAAAATTACTTGGAATTTCAATTGATAATTCTTTAATGTGGTCTAAACATGTTTCAAATCTTTGTTAACTCTTTCGAGACAAATATTTCTACTTGGAAGTCTGAAACATTATCTCAGCTCTGAAATAAACCGTATTGATTATTTCTCAATATTTCATAGCCACATTAGTTACGCTACTTATATATGGGAATAATCTTGTCATGCAGTTCGCGCTACATATATTGTATAAATGTAACGTAGTAATAAACCAAGCGACAGAAAATTTATATGTGTCAGTTTGCAACTGAAATTAAAAACGTGCACAAAAATTAAATAAAACATGTCAACTAAATATTCACCATTCGGGGATAATATTTGGTTACTTTGTGATAATGTATAGTTACTCTATTGGCAGGTTTTAAGCGGGAATAATAGTCAATAACACTTTTTCAATGCCAATTTTTTTATAATGTCCAATTAAACAGGCAAATTAAGGTTTTCATAGAAAACTAAAAGCCTTTATTGTTTCTATATAAATTGGATCAAAAATTCCGACGCGTTGTTACAGTCTATATTATGTTACTTGGCGATCTAAGAGGAAGTCACTTTGCCTTAATATGTCCCAAATGAAGTGAAGAGTATCCCACAATCCAAACTTTTTCAGATTCAGGGAGAGTTGAGAGAGAAGGTATTTGTCCAACTGTGGCATGCAAAGATGTACGATGATAATGGCCAGATTTAGTGTATACCATATAAATTCATTTTGTATTAAGAAACCAAAGAAATATTCAAACAGTTTTACCTTCGTGCTGCTTTATCGTCTATTGGTTTGTTGTTTTGTTCCTCATTGTTAACATTCTCTTCTGAATCATCATTAACATTGTCAATTTGTGCTGGTATTTTGAGCACTGTACCTTCACCTTGGGGTCCATAAGATATTTTAATAGTCCTTGTTGATATATTATAACAATTTTGAGAGTCACTGTTTATGTTCGATTGAGAAATATGGCTGCTTCTGAAAATTAAAGAACTAATCATACTTAGTACAAAACTTTTAACAATGCTTAGACAACAAGTTTTAATGTTATAAAGAGTGATGAAATGATATTGCATAATAGATTTTCATTATACAGGGTGAATCCTAAATTATTACTTTTTTAACTGCGTATAAAAGTCGTTAAAATAAACATTTTTTCAAATTACTTTTTTTAAAAAACTCAAAAATAAAAAATATAGAGAATTAAAATGATGGCCTGTATATGTTTATCGAAAACTAAGCTAAATATTTACGTTTTTATCTTTATACCTTTTTTGTTAATTTTTATTACCCGTCAATGTAATTTAATCAGGTGTTCACTGTTTAGTAGAATGCTTACATGAAAATAATTAACTTGAGAATGGTATGTTGCTTATTTATTCAGAGTGTATTTAAAATTCAGATGCATCAAAGTTCTTAATCGGTGTTGTACAGAATGAACAGTGAACGGTTTACCTTGTGTTTCAACACTTGAGTGAATGGTGAAAACTTTGAATACATTATTAACAGGACCGTATTGGATACATTTTAATGTTTTATTTTCGAGTTTTTTTTTTGAAAAAGTTGTTTATTTTAATCACTTCTATATAGTTCAAAAAAGTATCAACTCAGGATTCAACTTGTATATTTCTTAATTAGTTCGTTCATTTTATTTTAGGGTTCTTTTAAAATAACAAGGAAGTAAGTAGATAATCTTAGGAAAAATAAAAATTCGCACTTTTAAATGTCTACATAATACCATTAAAGACTATACGCCATAAAAGTGTGACGTAATTTTGGTTCCACTGACGGTTAATTCTAACCAAACTTTTAACAATATTTAACATTTATTTTTTTTATTAAATATTGTTTCCAGATCATAAAAATTGTGATTGGTTAATAAATGGTTATATACTTGATGCATATTATCTAATTACTCTAGAAATATATCTATACAAGTTTAAAAATAATATAATTTAGGTAAACAGAACGAACAAAACGTACTTACTGTCACTGTAATTGCCATTGGAACTAAAATTACATCATTACCAATTTAACGTATTAGAGCTACTATACATTTTTGCAACTAAACACCTATAAAAGTATGATTACCATTGGACTTTATGTAACTTATTGAATTTTTCGATAAAAAGTAATACAGTTTATTAATATTGACACAATATTCCTACTAAAAACTAAAAAGAAGAAAGTCATTTATGTAATTTTGTTTTATTTCTTACAAAAAAAAATTAAGACAAATATGGTACAAAAAGTAAATACAAAAAACACAAATGCAGGATCTTCAGGAATTTAGTGGCGACTTGTTAATTTTTCTGACTTCCATGGCCACTTTCTTGATTCTCGGATTTTTCTAGGTTTCTAGGACTTTCCAGATTGATGGGCGGCCTAAGGTAAGAGAAAATATAGCGTTTGGAGAATAATTTAATCTATATTTTAATGAAAATTAAAGAAATATTTTAATTTGTTATATTTTTAATATTAATGATAGTCTTGAATTATTCATAAAACATGTCACTGTTAATTGTTTCGTGCTAGTGGCGGCTGGAAAGGCGAGGTAGGCTGTATAATAACCTTTTAAATAGAATAAAAAACAAATGGCTGGAGTGTTCACTTCAATAATTAACATCTATCTGTATTTTTACATAGTTACCCACTAAGTTTTAAAAGCAAAAAAAATATCGTCTACTACCTGAGAACCTGAGAGCACCCAGGGACAAGGAATCAAACTTAATTATGAGATTTACAGATTATATATTTTAAACTTCGCTGTTTTTAAGTCTGTCTGAGGAGGCCTATCGAACATTTTCCTTAGTAGCGCAAGTGCAGTGATATCCACAATATATCCCCTATAGTAATGTCAGTGGGATTCAAGAAATGGCTTTGAGTTACGCTGCGGCCAGACACAGAGCCACATGGCGCTAGTATCGTTTTGAATTTTGACACGTCTGAGATCGGCACGTTCATTGGTTGAAGACGAAGTTTTTGACAAGCGAAGCGTGAAGTATCAGTATTGACAAGTGATAATTTTTTTGATGTTTTCTTCTACGAAATTTATACCGTTTATTACTATTAATTTTGTTTCAGCGATATTTATTGTGTTGTATTAAGTGCTTACTTATTTAATATGGAAAGCAAAACGTACAACAAACTCAGAAAAAGAAGATTCAAGTAGGGATTGCTATGGCTGTCATCCAAGGGTCCCCGTCCTAGATAATACTTTTCCAGTGGGAAAAGCCTTTAAAATTCATGTATAACAATTTTATGTTTTCAGTTTTCTCTTCTTTTAATGTAGGTGCCACTTTTGACGTAAGTTTGTAATAATTTTTCATATTTTTTAGTTAATACCCTTTAATATTATAATTTAACTAAGATCTTATGCTTTCCTATGGACACGATTCAAGGAGGGAGTCCTATGGCTGTCATCCAAGCCCTAGATAATAGTTTTCCAGTGGCAACAGCCTTTAAAATTCAAGTATAATAATTTTCTGTTTCAGTTTTTCTCTTTTTTCGAAGTAGGGGTTCATTTAAAGTAAAAAAAATTATTTCACTTGTTGATTTTAGCAAGTATATACAGTATCGGCTATTGAACACTTTTCAATACGCTTTGCTAGCATTGAAGCGAAAACTAAAGAGTTAGTATTAGTGGAATCAGGAAACGAATAATATGAATGTTGCCTTGTGTACTGTGTAATATGAACAGGCACATGGAGAGATAGATCCCCACGCAGCCGGCTGGCTACGTTCATAGTATTCCATTCCTGCTCGCACTAATGCTCTTTGTAGTTTTCACTTAGACATTAGCATAACGTATTGTAAAACATTCGATATCCGACACTGTATATCACAAACATCTCTTAATAACTAACGAATGATTGAATTTAATATAGTGTTTCTTTTTTTTTTTCAGTAAAATGGATATGGCTAGAGTTATCATCGACTTTAAAATATATTAAATAAATTGTATAATTTTTAAAATAAAATATTTTATATCATTTTTTTTATATACCAAAGCCATTTTTTTTAGATATAGCCTCTAGGTAAAAATAGAAGTGATTCAGGTAACATTGAAAAGTAATTACATGTTCTTTTAAATGTGTTGTTAATCCAAACGCTACTCTTATTGTAATAGCTAAAAATAAAAAAATCGTATTGGTTTTAGCAATCAGAATAAAAATAGCGCTCGGATTTATAGCTCATTTAATGGAACATGCAATATACTTCTCAATTATTATAGCCGAATGAATATATTTTAAAATTCCCGCCATTTCTCGGCTGAAATTTTACGATTTTGGCGGGAAATTTAAATTTTGGCTTAAAATTATATTTGAATTTACCGCCATATCGAGGTAGTTGAGCGGCCAGACGCCTTTAGCGCTGCAAACTTAGTGCCATCTCTTTAACAAGTGAGATGCACTACTACAGGGGATATATTGTGGTGATATCTTCATAAGTCTTCAACAATACCAGTGATCAAATTGATGAACAGTAAAAGTAATTAGGCAATCCAACGATCTGGTCAAATCGCTGCCTGTTAGCTTTCAATGATTGATACAGGGCGAATCCTAAGCTGATACTGTTTAAACAGTGTATAGAAGTCATTAAAATAAATATTTTTTTTCAAATAACTTTAAAAAAAAACTCAAAAATAAGATACATAATTAAAAAAATCTAAATCCGGGTATGGACTTGTGTATCAAAAATTAGGTTAAATGAGAAATTGTTTTTACCGATTTTACCTTTTTATTTTTTTCTTATATATGAATCCCACGTCACTTCTTATTGTAATTCAGTCGTCTGTGCGAGTTCAATAGATTTACCTCGCGAGCCTATGCCAGAAATTCTATTAATCTAACTTAACAGGCTACATTTTGGAATAAATTAAAGTAAGTTTCTTATTTATGAGTTTTTTTCGAAAAATGGTATTTTAATGAATTCTATACACAGTCAAAAAAATACAACTTAGTATTCGCCCTTTTTATTGTTATATAGCTTGATCAAAGCGCGTCGCATTGAACGCGGCCATATTGTCCCGCAAGTGCTCATTAATCAGAATCGGTTTAGCAAAAATGTGTTTTAAAACCTAATTTGAGTCTTTGAATATAATAAAAAAATAATTAGTTACATTTTTACTTTAAGGAATTCGAATTTTGAAAGACATGATCAATCTATATAACTATATATCATTGACCCTATCAAATCCAACAGACAATAATTTTGTTTGGAATGTCTAATAAATTAATCAGTAATCCCAAAATTCTGACAACTGAGTTGCCATACAAGTCACTAAAGATAGTAGTTTGTGCAACAAGAGTAGATATGATGCACAGTTAATGACAGTTGTAGGAAATGTATCCAACATATTGCGTCGGTTCATAGGGCCGGCCCTGTATAATAAATTTCGAGAATTGTAACTGAAAAGCTTAGCGCTTACATCATTCTCGACAAAAACCAATTTCAAACAAAACTGTTATAATCTTTAGCCAATCAAAACTATGTTATCCGAATAATATTTAAGTTATCAAACATACAAAGTGTGAAACCAATTTTTATTTCCAAATCTTTGCTAGATATTTATATAAACTCACTGCTCAAAATTATTCATCAAGATAGTAAGTTAGATAAAGTGCGTCATCCTTATAAAACTAAACAAAATAAATCACGGCTCTATTCATGTAAACACGTAAATAAAATCGTATGTAAAAAAGTATATTGTACAACGAGATAAAAATATATAACACCATTCCTGGCTCATTTAAAACATTACCTGTAGGAATTTTGACAATGGATGTATGACGACACATTTCTAATGAGCAACCCGGGTATCCCGTTTCGCAACATTCGCGCGTCACAATCATTTTTGGGACGTAGGAATACGGTCGCTAGGCAAGTTGTTGTTTGGGCAGAAGTCAACGAAAAAAGTCATTCTTTTAATCTCAATATTTTATATTCAAAACCCTGTATTAAATAATACAAAGAAT